ACTACTCAACTACAAAAAACAATGGTGAACTAGCACCTCTTATATTTCCCTGCATAGAGCTTGAGCCCATCCTTCAAAGTGAGGTATCACAAGAATGGAAAAACAAGCACCACATGTACTCGCAATGAAATTGGTACTAACTGATCAACACTAAGGTGCTCTCCTGGAAGTAATATTCATTGGGTGCCAGTCAGGTGGGTGGTGGGGGTGGGTAAATTCACAACTACAGAGCACACTGTGAGGGGGAAGGGCACACCTGTAGTCCTGGCTTGGGTGAGGCAAATGCATTACATGTAACCAAAATGTTTGTATCCCATGATATCCTAATTAAAATAAAAAATAAAGGATTTTCTGAGCAATAAACAAATAAATAAAAAGTATTTCCACCTGGGTATAGAATCTAGATTTACAGATAATAGCAACTTTAAAGATGTTGCTTCACTGTTTTTCCAAATTGATTTTGATAAGAAATCTGCTGTCATCCTTATCTTTGTTCCTTTGTGTAGTATGCCTTTCTTCTGTGGCTATTTTTAACATTTTCTCTTGATCCCTGATTCTGAGCAACTTTTTTACAATGTTCCTTGGTGTATTATTCTTCACATTTCTTGAGCCTGGGGTTTGTTGAACTCCTTGGATCTATGGGTTTACAGTTTTTATCAAATTTGGAAAAATTCTGGTCAGCATTTCTTTAATTTTTATTTTTGGTCACATTACCCTTTCCCTTGCCTAATTTGTACATAAAGTCACTTGAAGTCTTTTTTCAAATTTTTGGATTTTTTAGAGCAGTCTAGGTTTAATAAAATTTCAAGAAAGGTCTCATACACTCACTCTCCTCACCCTTCTCTAATTTCTCTCATTATTGCACTTTGCATTAGGGTGATGCATTTGTTACAATTAATGAACTGAAGTGATATTTATACATTAGTGTTAACTCAAGCCCGCAGTGTGCATTAATTTCCACTCTGTGTTGCACAGTTCTACGCCTAATGTCATGGACCCACCGTATAATATCACACAGGACAGGTTCACGCTCTAAAACCCGAGCTCCACTGAGTCACCCTCCCCACCGGCCCTGACAACCACTGATCTCCGTATTGCATTATAATGCGCCTCTTTCAGAACGCATACAGGTGGAACCACACAGTATGAAGGTTTTCCTTTTTTAAAAAAATTGTAAAGCATTTATGTTTCATCCACATCTTTCATAACTTGATAGCTCATTTCTTTCTATGCTAGCAATACTCCACTGTACAGTGGTATTATATTTTTTAAAGAAAAATACTAACGCTATTTAAAAAGGCAAGGAAGACTTATTCAAGACTATTGCAGTGGGAGTCATGGCTATTGTGACAAGGGAAATAACAACTCCATATACAGAGGATCCGTGGGATCTACCCAGTGAGCAGACTGAGCGGACTGGGGATGGAAAACTGTAAGAAGAGACCAACAAGGTTGGGGGGGTTTCCTGCTAAACTGGCCTATAAGTTACAAGGCAGACAAAAAAACACACATCAAAGGTGGGGGAACAGCCGCAATCCATTTGGCCAGCGGGTGGCCTCACCTGTAATGCTAGCACTCTGGAGCTGAGGCAGGCAGATCGCTCAAGGTCAGGAGTTCGAAACTAGCGCTGAGCAGAGCAAGACTCCCATCTCTACTCAAAATAAAGAAATAATGGCAAAAAAAGGCCAGTAAAATATATATAGAAAAAAATCAGCCGGGGATGGTGGCGCATGCCTGTAGTCCCAGCTACTCTGGAGGCTGAGGCAGGAGGATCACTTGAGCCCAGGAGTCTGAGGTTGCTGTGAGGTAGGCTGATGCCACGGCACTCTAGTCTGGGCAACAGAGTGAGACTCTGTCTCAAAAAAAGAAAAAAACAAGTGGGAGATGAGGAACTTGATCAGATATCAAAGTTGATCGAGTACGAAGGGCAGGAGGACAACTGAGCAAGACTCCTGCTGGTTCCAGGCACCAGTGGACAGTCACGCAAAGCCACGGATGACTCGGGGCTGGGAGAGGGCCATGAGGAGCCTGGCCCCAGTTTGGTCAAGGACCGTCTTTGTCATTACCACTCACATACTGAAGGGCATGATTGTTGCTTCCATTTCCTTTTATGGCAATTATGACTAAAGATGCCGCACAAATTTATGTGCAGATTTCTGTGTTCTCTATCCAGAAACTTCAGGCAGTAAATGGGGGCGGCAGTGGGGGTCACCTTGTCATTTCCAGTTCCTCCAGGGCCACTTTCCTTCACTGCCCCGGGGCCCAGTCTGGAACGTGGCTCTTCACATGTTTTGTCTGTTTTGGGGTTTTTTTTTTTTGTTATTTGTTTGTTTCTCAGTTGTTTCCAATAAAAGGGCAAATTTGGCCCCTGTACTCCATCTTGGCCATACGCAAAAGCCTCAGTCAAATGTGAGCGAGCACAGTTGACTCAGGAGGAAACAATCGCCAGGAATGTTTGACTTGCCCAAGATCACACAGCTAATCGCTGTGGGACATACACATAGGACATACAGCCCGGTAAGGGCAGGTGAGGTTTCAAGTGGCCCGTCTGCTCCTAGTCCTTAGAGTAGAAAAGGCAAGAAAGTGTGTTATGTCAGAACCAGGACTGCTGATTAGTGAGACATGATGGGCGAACCTTCTTTCAGTTGCTGGCACCAGAACTGGGTCAAAACTGCTGAAAATTGTGAAGAACAAGACTTCCTTGTGATGCCAGTGGCAGGACTGTGAAGCCATTTTACCTAATGGATTATTCCAGGTAAATCTCAACACCAATGTAAAGGGACATTTAGACATTTAGGATGACCTGACACACAGAGGATAACCTATGAGTGAGTGTCCGCTGGACACAAACCTACACTTGAGCTGTCAAAGGGTAACGTGCGCCCCTCACCTGGCCTTCAGAACGGCCATCCAGTTGTGTACTAGTGTCTGCATTAACATGATGAAACCAGATTTTCTTTCTTTTTCTTTTCTTTTCTTTTTTCTTTCTTCCTTTCTGACAGGGTCTCGCCCTGTCACCCAAGCTAGAGTGCCATGGCATCAGCCTAGCTCACAGCAACCTCAAACTCCTCAGCTTAAACAATCCTCCTGCTTCAGCCTTCAGAGAAGCTGAGACTACAGGTGCATGCCACCATGCCGGGCTAATTTTTCTGTTTTCGTAGAGATGGGGTTTTGCTGTGTTGCTCAGGCTGATCCAAAACTCCCCCCCCCACCTCCCCCGGGCTCAAGCGATCCTCCCACTTCGGCCTCCCAAAGTGCTGGGATTACGGGCTTGAGCCACGGTGCCAGGCCCAGATTTTCAAGTATACAATACACAATCTAAAAGATTATTGTAACCATAATGTATTCATAATAGGAAGCAAAATTAAATAAGAAAAGAAATTTCATTTGGGCAACCTGGTTGCCTATCGTATGTGTTCAAACGGACATAACAGATGCCTGTGTGCTGGGCTCATGTTCCACGGGGGTTCAGATGTCAAGAATATGAGCACATAAACAGCCAAGAGCAGGACTGTGTGGAAGGAGGAAATTAGCATAGATGCCAGCCAAGATGAGGCAATTCCCATCCTTGCAAAACTTCCAGTGTCATGCAAAAACAACCAATTCCATGACAAATCTAGAAAATCGCAGTTAGAAGGGAGTAAACATTGAATTCCCCTAATAGGAAACCCAAGGCAGAAATAATGGATTAATATGTACAGATATAGCTGCTGAAAATTTCAGGTTTCTCTATAAGTGGTGTTTTGTAGATTATAAATATGCCTTTATAACACATCATTAAAATGTTCAATCTGTCAAGTAAAAAGCATTCACTGCATCTCCCTGTTTGTCAGGTTTAGAGCTCCCTCTACAAATTTCATTCGCTTTATTGTAATTATTTGCCATATCAAATTTTCATATATCTTGATTAAAGCCAATCTTTTCTTCCCCTTTCTTAAGCGAATTCTTGCGCACATCTTAGAATTCATGAGCATGTCAGGGAGATCAAAATATAGTTGGGAAAATGACTAGCTAGCGGCATGAGTCATAGTCTAATGTTTGATTGCTTACATCAAAGAGATCATATGCAGGAATTCAGAAACATCTCGTATTTTGCTCACGTTGTGATGTCTCCCACTAGCACCTACTCACTTACTGCAGAAATTACTGCAAAGTGCCCCAGCTACCTGGTGTATAAGACAACAATCAAAGTCACACTCTCTTTGCCCTGCCATTATATTATGGCAGTCTAAACAAGTATTTTAGATCTGGGATTAAAAAAAAAAATTAAAATGCTGTTTACTAACAGGAGTCTAGCTGTGAGTTTGTTTTGCAGGGCTTTGTTAAATCTATAGAACCAGACAATACATCCTGTATATATAGCCTTTGATGTCTGTGTATCTCATGCTAAGTATGCCTGGGTTGACTTATAGCAATGGTGATTAAAAAAAAGACACAGAGTGTTGTTAAAAGGAACATATCCAATTCAGGATTTATGCATTGATAACATTTCAGCAACATGTGCTATAGCCAGAAATGTTAAAATAGCCTTCTTACTTCACAAGGAAAGCAAGGGTATTAGATCGATTCTGTTTCTATTACAGTACACATTGGTGCTATGGTTTTATTTTAGCTCAACAGTTTCTCTCTTTTTTTCTCCCCTAGTATGGGTGGGGGGATGGATAGGCAGGAAAACAGAAGTGGAAGTAAATACATTGGGTGTGCGAGACACTGGAAATTTGAGTTAGGGTATTTTTTATTAGTCAAACTATAACAAGGTTGGGATATAGTTTAGAGCTTCCCAACTTGATAATCGCTATGTCAAGTTTTAGTTCCAACAAGGAAAGGCACTCTGAAACCTAAATAAGGCACACTCTGAGATCTCAAAGAAGTCATCAGCAGCGTCAGGGCGAACCAATGACGGGTTTCCACTGGTTCTCAGCGGTGCGCCATTCATCCTTGGCCCTGCGCCCCCACCCAAGCGGGCAGACAGGGCGCCAAACCCGAAGAGCCGTACTCACCAGCCTTGATGTGGACATCCTGACTTCTAATTTTCCCTGAAGGATTTTCAGCTGTGCAATAATAAGTATTATCATGGATTAAGGTACTGAAGCTTGAAGGAGGGAAGGGGAAAATTTGGAGAGTGCCGTTGGGGTGGACGTGGCGGATCCCGGGGACATCGTAGATCTCCTCGCCCGTGGCTAGGTACCATCTGAGAGTCACAGGAGGGATGCCTGCAGCGGGGCAGGGCACCAGAGTCCCCGTGGTGCTGGCAAACACTACCTCTTGCAGAGATGCATTGACAAAGTAGAGGCTGGAGTGTAGGTCTTCACTGAAAACTGCAAAAGACAACACAGGAATCCATCGGTCAATGAAATGCAACCTTCTTTCTCTATGTTTGTTCTGCCACCAGCCTGGCCTCAGAAGGTTATCTTGAGAAATAACCAGGAGGCTCAGCTAAAATGAAAGCACTCAAAATTTCTCAAAATACTATGGATGGAGGAGGCAGGAACAGAAGAATGAGGCATCATCCTAATTTCGTAATTTGCACACGAAATGTTGAGTTATCCTGGATCTTAACTTTTAGTAGATGAGTCTTCAGCCTCTGTCCCCCTGGTACTCACCACTATTGGACTGCATATTATTCATACATATATTGCATTCACTTCCTCTCTGTCTTCCCCACTAGAACAGAAGCCTCCTGTGGACAAGGTCCCGATTTGCTCACACTATTGCTTGAGCACAGAGCTAACCTCCAGGGCCTCTCTGCAGAGATGCTAAATGAATAAATAATTAGATGCTGGTGCTAGGATCAAATTGTTGGTACATCAAGAGCCATTGCCAAAAGAAATCAGCCACAGTTTTTTAAAATTAAAATTGAAGATCATATGTAAAGCAACTACAAAACCACAAATGGTTGTCAGAAAAAACAGGCATCAAACTAGCAATGCAGATTTTATTGAAAACAGGTAAAAACAGTAAAGAAAATTCTGACAAAAGCATCACTCAATTCCACCAGCTTATAGTTTCTGTTTTGATTTTCACATTTTCCCTTCTGGTTCACCTGCCTACATGCCTTACCTGTATAATTACACTGTGTTAAAATGTACATATGTAAAATATGCCACTCTTTCATTCTCTTAACATTGCATCAGCTATATAATTCCATGTTTCTATACAGAATTCACAAGTAAATATTAGTGGATGCACACAATATGCTTTTATAAACTATTTCCCTGATCTTTTTATTTAAATTGTTTCTCTTTTAACTTTCACAAATAAAATGTCAGAAAACCTGTTCATACATATTTGGATTTTTTTTTTGAGACAGAGTCTCACTCTGTTGCCCGAGCTAGAGTACTGTGGTGTCAGCCTAGCTCACAGCAACCTCAAACTCCTGGGCTAGAGCGATCCTCCTGCCTCAGCCTCCTGAGTAGCTGGGACTACAGGCATGCGCCACCATGCCCAGCTAATTTTTTTCTATATATATTTAGTAGGCCAATTAATTTCTTTCTATTTTTAGTAGAGATGGGGGTCTCACTCTTGCTCAGGCTGGTTCAAATTCCTGACCTTGAGTGATCCTCCCGCCTCGGACTCCCAGAGTGCTAGGATTACAGGCGTGAGCCACCGTACCTGGCCCACATTTGGATTTTTAATTCACTTACTGAGTGCCTATGTTGAACTCAGTAACTAGCACTTATTTGGAGTGTCATTTAATGTGCACAAATGAAACTCAAATTCTAGAATCCAAAAATTAAACAAAAGATTTGTAAATACCTCAAAGACCTACTCTCCCTCGTCTGTGCTTATGTATGACTTCCCAAAAGCAGGTGTATGCCCAGTCGCATATTTGCAAGAGAGAAAAGAAGCCCCAAATACTTGGACTGAACTTCACAGGTCAGGGATGAGAGGAACATTTATTAAGCACCTATTCTGTACCAGGCAATTTTATGTGACTCAAGGTATTATTTCATTGACGCTTGTGGACAACAGCTCTGCTAGCTAAGTATAGGCCCCACTTTGCAGAAGATGACATGGAAATTCAGAGCGTTGTCACGACGATATGGAAATTTAGAGCATTGTCATTTGACCAGGGACATAGGGCTAGGAGCCAGTAGACCCAGGATTCAGTCTTTCTGATGAAGGTTTCTAGGATTCATGCTTTCTCACCTTAGAACCAAATGTGGCTAAACAGTCTCCCTCACTCGGGCAGGGACCAGAGGCAGCTACCCTCAAACTGGCCCTCCCATCCTGACCTAGTCTTTCCCAGCGGTGGGGGACAGAGGGGTTCTAGGCTGCTGTAGCGTGGTGGGATTGCTACTAAGCCTGTGTGAGGACATACATGTGCCCATCGGTTTGCACAACCTTAACTGACATGATTTGGTAAGAAAGACAGGAAGAAATGGATGCTATTTGCAAAGATAATTGGACTCATTTTAAAATAGCAAGATTTAACCTGCTCGCTAAATGTCAGGGCAGGGAGTGGCCCCCAGCCCAGCAGTAGCACAGCTCTGAGCAATGAAAGAGGCTGAGTGAAGGCGGGTGACTCTCCCCACAGCAAGAATGAGGCACGTTCTTCCCTGATGCCACTTGCAGTAGGTAACAGGAGCTCTCTCCGGAGTCCCTCTCTGGGGCCAACGTGTTCCACCACCCGCAGCTGGAAATGTCCTCAGCTGACCCTCACAGCCGGTGTGATTCTGAGCCACGGGGAATGGCCTTGTCTGAGGCCTGCAGGGGACAACTGGGCAAAGGTGGCTCCAAAGGCCTGGCCTGCTCGTGCTGTGGGGAACAGCTCTGAAGGGGCGTCCTGGCAGAGACCTCAGCTCCCCTCCGCCCATCGTGCCTTCCGCACCTCCTGTCTTGTGTATCTCCTGAGAACCCGCCACCAGCCTCTCCTTCTGAGCAACTCAATCCGAGACACCAGCTGAGCCTGCACTAGTCACCCTCTAGAGTCTGGTGCTTCCTGGATGTTTTTCCAATGCTAAGTACAATAATTGAAAAGTGCCAAGTAATATCCCATGGAAGCCCCCTAATAAATAAAATACAGGCAGACATCAAGATGAAAGAAAGCATAAATCTGGATTCTCGCTGGATATTAGGAAAAGGTTATAAGCAATAATTCTTACGTTGAATAAGGCAATGGTGCAACTAAGACTCTCAGGCTGTCATTTTCTGCGAGCCCATTAAATATGGACAGTGTCCACCAACATGTAGTTGATGAATAAACATTTTCACGTAAGAATCAAACAATCATATATTATATAAACACATTTTCAGTTACACTTTACATACCAAATAAGCTAATATGTATAAAGCGTAATGCATTGCATGGTGTACGTGCTTAACAAATGTTAGCTGGTAAATCCAATGTCCTCATTTATTCATTTTCCCGTCTCATATGAATGTGGTATGTCAAAAGTCCATTGACAATTTGTTAATCTTTTCTTTTTTTGAAATTTCTATTTCACAAAATTACTTCTGTTTTAAATAGATTGGAATTACCTCTCACGGTTTGGGAACAGAATGTTCATGGAAGTGGAGAGAGAGAGAAAGAGAGAGAGAGGCAGAGATGAAAGCCCCCAGCAGAGATCCCCAATATGGAGAGATGCTAGACAACCCTCGGCCCCTTCCACCATAAAGTCCACACACCAAAGTGGATTCTGCCCTGCTGCACAATATAGATGTCCCCAAAGTGGATAGTCCCCTAAAAAGACCTCTTTTTCCCTGATCAGGAGAAGTATCAAAATCTATCCTCAATCTGTGCATCTCTTTCCAGATAACTCAATATAAGACAAATGTCTTGTCTAACAATGATGGAAATGACAATGTAGAAGGTCTCATGCTTAAAGAGCAGTAACTCCTTAAGGATGTTGGCAGATGACATCTGCCTGACAGACCCACAACCGGGGTGACATACAATGGTCACTTTGGCTGTTAGGGCCATATATGGCACCAACAGAAACTTTTCCACTTCATTGGTTTCATATGGGATGATAAGATTACCAGTGCTCAAGGCTTGAATTGGGGTAAATTCATCAGTATAAATACAGTTGTCAATGACAGAGAATCTCACAGGGCATTGAGATGTGCTGACTCATAGTAACATTAGGGAACTTGCTCTGGTGTGCCTGAATGGAATGTAGACTTATATTTGGTAAAACCAAAAAGGTTAATTCCCAACATCAGCAAAGAGGACAAGAGAGATTGCTCTCTCTCCTTGCACATATATTACCTTAGAGCATGCATTGCACTAATTTCTTCTTTACCCAAGTTTAGTAAATGCATTAAAAAGCGTGTTGGTGTGGGGATGCAGTGAGATGGATGTGATGAGATTCCTGGTCTACCATTTCCCAGAAAGAAAACTCCAATAGGAAGTGCTGTTGCAAAGTTGTCATATGAAAGTAGCATATGATAGTGAGTATTGACATGGTGCAATGTGCTCATGCATGTCAGCACTACTTTTTATTATGCAACTAAAGGGTTATGTGGCCAGTCATTTAAACACTAAGCACCAGTTTTAGGTTGCTCCAATAAAGGAAGGGGAGGAAGGGGAGGCATTAGTCTAATAACTAGATGACCTTCAAGGTTCCTTCCACTACTCTTGCTCTACCATTCTATGACGTTTCACAAGTGCTGTGGTTTGAAAATCTCTGCCGAAACTCACATTGAACTTCAATTGCCAAGGTAATGGTATTAGGAGTTGGGGCCTTTAAGAAGTGATTGGGGCAGAGCCTGCATGAATGGATTAATGTCATTATGGTAAGAGTGGGTTAGTTATCGCTGGAGTGGGCTCCTGAAAAAAGGGTAAGTTCTGCCCACATTTTCACTCTGTCTTGGGCACTTGCCTTCCATTCTTCCACCACAGGATGAGCTGCGCCAGGTACTGCACCATGCTCTTGGACTGCTCAGCCTCCAGAACCATAAGCTAAATAAATTTCTATTGTTTGTAATTTAACCAGTCTGTAGTATCCTGTTATAGCAGCAGAAAATGGACTAAGACAAGTCACATGGTTTCACTCTCTATAGTCACACAGAATAGGTGATACCTTTTCAAATCACTGTGTTAGTTTCATTACGTGGCTGCCTCTATTTTGGAAAGCCCAATCTTGGGGAAGCTGTGTCTATGAGATTCAGCACCCTCTAGATATCGCACTTGAAACAACTGTCTTATTTCTCTTGGTCTCCATCACTGGCAGGGACCAAGAGTTTGCCCATCAGGGCCAGTGCTGGCTGTGGCTAAGCCATGAGGCAGAGTAGATGAGTAGATGTCATTTGTTATTATAAAAAGGTGGTGAAGAAAAATACATTTTACAAAAGTGAAAGATCTTACTCAAAGGGAAGAGAGGCAGAGGTGTTCCTCAAGTTTTAACTGCTTTATAGTTTTCTCTTCCAACCTTAGCTAAACTCTTTAGCTATGCTTCATAAGTCAGAATATGAACATTATTGCTAACTAAGAAATCAGTTCACATCAGAAGCATAGTTAATAGTTCAACATTGCAGTTTTAAACTCAAATAAAAATGCTGATAGTAGCACTGTAATTTTATATTTGAGCTTTCTAAGAAACTGACATTACCCGAAACATATTGTTAGGAATGAGGCAACTGTCACTCTTCAAGGGTAATTAATTCCACCCAGATTCTTTCATTTTTTCCTACATCACTCTTCTGTCAACTTGACTGTGGGTAATTTTTAACTAAATAAAATTTGGTCATATTTGAATTCATCCTCTTGTGTCCTAAAAGTAGCCTTGTTAAGAATAGCAAGTCTTTGAAAATGTAAATGTATACAAGAGGCACTGCTTAATTAAATGTATAGTTTCTTATTGAAAACCACATTCT